AGTCAGAATAAAGCAACACACATCATAACGCTGGTAAAACATGCACAGATATATTTCACACCATTAATCACATGGGCAAAACATTCACAATTCAGGGATTATGTTGCTACAATCCCAGCTATGTGGTTTAATAATACATTAAAGTGCCAAAGGCTGCATGATGGATGGGATTGAGAGGGAATAAACCACTAATAGCTAAAAGTTAGAATGAACCTCCTCAGGCATGTGCATTAAATATAGAGGGGTCATTTCTCTCGTACAAACTGCTCAGTCTAAGATTTTCCTTTCACTAGGCTGAGTAAATGCAGCTGAATCTAAGAAGTACACACACCAACAAAAGGAGGAAACAGCTGCTTCAACCCAAATAATCCTGGTATCCGATAACATTATGCAAACATTTTTAGGGACCAAATGAAAACAAGCACCATAGCGGTGATGCAGTTGACAACCCTAAAAGACAGACCTAAAGGTGGCAATTTTGCAACAGAAAAGCTTCAAAAACAGACTCCAAGGAGAAACTGCTGAACTTGAATTAATTTGCAAATTAGACACGATCAATTTAGGCTTGAATAGAGACTGGGAATGGCTGAGCCATTACACACATTGACTTTTTCTACCATGTTAAGTATTCTCACACCTCTTGTCAAACTGTCTGTAATGGGCTATCTTGATTATCACTACAAAAGTTTTTTCTCTTAATTAATTAGCCTCTTAGAGTTGGTAGGACAACTCCCACCTTTTCATGTTCTTTGTATGTGTGTATATATATATATATATATCTCCTCACTATATGCTCCAGTCTTTGCATCCGATGAAGTGGGCTGTAGCCCACGAAAGCTTATGCTCAAATAAATTTGTCAGTCTCTAAGGTGCCACAAGTATTCCTGTTCTTCTTGTGGATACAGACTAACACGGCTGCTACTCTGAACCCTAAAAGACAGGCTGTCAGGGCTATTCTGAGATGGGTTGCTCACAATCTCTTCTGTTGAATCTCTTCCACTTTGCATGAATTGCATAAACAGGCATCATCAGCCCACAAAGTGCGATCAAGAATGACTTTATAGCCTGGTGGTGAGGGCACTCTGGGGGAGTCATATCCTTGCTCCAATGAATATTTAATTCCCCCCACCATCTTTTGTGCAGGTGCAGTGTGCTCAGAGCATGCCTCCTAAATCGGGCTCCGCAGGTCAGGCAGGTAAGGAGCCACCTGGTCTGGGAATCCCACTGAACCTTAGGTATGAGCTTGATGCCAAGCTGCTCAGCAGAGTCAGGACTTAGGCAGCTGTGCATATGCCCTCTGGCAGAAACGGGTGCCCACAGATTTGGTGCAGCTGAGCAGTGGTTTTGTGCATCTCAGTGGTGCCTAAATGTTGACTTAGCACTTAACCGCTCCTTCAGGGGCCTTAGTCACACTGAATGTCTGTGCTGTAGTTTCTGAAATGCTTTCAGTACCTATAATGCTACAAGAGAGTGCTGGAGTTATAGGCCAACTACGTCACTGGTGCAACTGCACTGGCTTCAGTGAAGGTACACCAGCAATGAAATTGGCCTAACAGGTGTGAATAATAGAAGGAGGGAGCTGTTTGGGGAGTGTGTCATCCTCTGTGGCTGTATACAACTATTTAATTGCTCTCAAAGGCCAAATTGATGCTGCCATGTGGCAAAGGAAAGATACACGCTCAGCTGGAAAAATGCCTCCAGCACTGGGACGCAGACAAGAATTTCCAAACAGTGTGTGAATAACAGAAAGTCCCTGCATTTCGTACCAGCTCATCTCCATAATTCACGTGGGAGCACACTGTAAAGTCATGCTTAAAGACTTTGTATACATCACCGCTTGTCTGAAACACATATTGTTGTCTTAATATATCATGTCCTATTCATCCAGGCAGGACACAGTGATCCACATTTTCACGCCACAGTGACAATGCTAGATAAGGAAATGCATTGATCTTCGGCTCAGTAATTCTTGCATTTTGCTCAGATAATTAACCTGGCTGCTGCGCTAGTGAGTCACTTCACCTCTTTATCTTGACTGGGGACACTGAAGAGAAGAAAAAGTTTATGAATCTGTAGTTTTGTCTGCTAGCATTGGACAAAATCAAGTCTTGGAAGATGCATTTTAAACATACTAGAAACCATCACACAGTATTGACTTTAAAGCAGTGGTTCCCAAACTTTAACAGCCCGTGAACCCCTTTCACTAAAATGTCAAGTCTCATGAACCCCCTCCTAAAAATGAATATTTCCAGATATTCTTCTCCTTTACCCAAGTGTAAATTATAAAAGCAGTGATCTTGGAAATATAAAATTTGTTTTTATGACATGCTTATTACACACTACTTATTATTTATCATTACAGTATTTTTATTACATTATGAAAACGGCAACACTCTTCCAAGATCTCACTTTCGTAGCTTGTATCACTTTGAATAAGCCTGTTATAAGACAAGACTCCTATGTTTCATCAAGGAGTATCAAATGTGAAACAGCATGAAGGTATTTAAGAAGCCAACTCAAAGAGTTCCTCCTACACAAGCGTTCAGGTCTTGAGCAGTCCAGGCAAACAACGCACGTTACAACAAAGCTTAAACTTGTTCTTCAAAACAATTTTAAAAACAATACTAGCTGCCTATTTAATTTTAAAAACAGCAAAAAATATCCACCTCCCTTTCCATTTCTTATAAGGAGTCTTGAAGTTTAAATCTCCTCAGTGTGATAGATATGCTTGCTTTGATCTGCTTAGCTCTTGGAAGTCCAGAGGCTCCGGGCTGCTGGCCCCATGCTGCCCGGGGTTCCTAGGGACAGCTCTATCCACCATTACGGATTTTTTCCCCCCAAGAACCCCCTGTAACATTTTGTGAACCCCCAGGGGCTCACGAACCCCAGTTTGGGAACCACTGCTTTAAAGCTATCCATCTTTAAAAAAAAGTGCCAACAGTCCCAGTAGGGCTCCACAGTGTGTAATTTATGCCACTATTACTAATAATTAATTTCAATTTCAGAGTGCAGGAGGGAACATTTTACAATTTGCTCTTTTCACAGGCCCTCACACTGACTATGGCTAGCTATCTTCCTCTTCCCTAGCTCATCTCCACTTCGAAGTAGAACACCCTGCTCACCACATTCAGAGCAGAGGAAGAGCTTGGAACTAACGGATTCATTTACAGGAAACATCTGAGGGTCAGAGGTCAGCATTCATCCCATTGGTGATAAATATTCCATGTAATTGCTGTACAAATGCTAGTGTTTGGGATTTATTTCAATTAGCTTATGAATGTTGGTTGCTTCCCACCCCCTCCCTCAGAGTGACAGATACACCACTTCTTGGGAGGAAGCCTTTTTGCAACCATTTAGCTGTCATCACCTTCACTCCTGACTCCTTTAAGCCAAGTACAGGCTAGTCCTATTCCTCTCTGACAGGTGAGATTCAGGGGCTAACTCCATCAGTTTGTGGTGGTTCTTTACTCAAAACCTTCCCGATAGCAAATGAATCAGCTGAAATCTTCAGTGGGATAAACATGACCATATTTCATTTTAAAAAGCTGTTTTAACTCTTCTGGGAATATTTTACACTGGTTTATTAGATGTGATCAGGTAGCTACATTTTATAGTCCTGTATTAACAGAGACAGACCCAAACCAACAAACACTTCTTTACTTTGGGAAAGTTCAGGTCTGAGACTGAAATTCATGTCTTGATCCTGAAGTAAATAACTTCATAAATTTCAGGAAAGTTGTGATCCAGATCAAAACTGTGCAGTCAGTGAGTGTATCTAAGTCAGATAATGTATTCAAGCAACCAGTAACTTAGATGGAAACTAAAAAATGCACTTAACCCCCCACAATTGATTAGGATGATGAAAGTAAACTATCATTGCTAATGTACAGTGCTGATTAACCCTTTCACCTATGAAGTACTTATTACTATGTGCAGGTTGAAAAGGCAAAATACAAATCCTATTCCTGCAAGCCGATCTGCACATACAGGTCCTCCCTCCTCTTAAAGTCAATAACACTCCATGCCCTGATGTGTATATCTGTTTGTGGGATTGATGTTGTGTGTTCATCTCCTTATTTTTAATTTGTTCTTGTGCAGGATTGGGTTGTTTTTTTTAAACTACCTAGTCAACAAATATAAACATCTATTGCAGCAAAGGGTGATAATTTGATCATGAAGGAACATATAAGAATATATGCAAAGAGCTAGTAAATAGTAAATATCAGGCTACTTTAAGAATCCCTTGAGCATCTCCATAACTCTGATAGACAGTGAACTCTGACTACAAAGGCTGCCTTCAAGGCCAGAGAAAAATAGACTGCCGGTAAGTTTGTCAGTGAACAGAGATTCAACTACAAGCCCAGATCAAACAATACTCTCAATTAGCAAGTGCTTTGCTTATTAATCCTTGCTTGGAGAAGGCTTGAAAGAGCTGTTAATGAATAATGAATGTTCAATAAGATTAAGGTGTCATGTCACCCTACAATTTCCATTGGAGGTACTGGATCAGGTTTTGAGATACTCGAGCATGTTTCAGTGACAGCAGAGCAACTCCAATTCTTTAAAAAGCTGGAAGTATTTTTTTTAAAGATTCCGTTGCAGATGGAATAGCGTAGCACAGATGAACAAAGACTCACTTTCTATTCGAAGCAGTACTCACTGACATAGACTGAGTTCATCAACTCAAAAACAAAGTGACAGCAGTTATATAGGAAACATTAACTATAAAGAGGAGAAAAGTACATTGGGCCTGAAAGTTAGGGTATGTCTACACTGCCCACGTTCCAGCGTGGCCGAGGCAGCCCTGTGACATGGGCAGTGTAGTCACGCTTTATCGCCAGGGGAGAGCTCTCCTGGTGATAAAAAATAATTACCCTGAATGAGGGGTGGTAGCTTTATCACCGGGAGCCCGGCGCTGTCTATACTGGCACTTTTCAGCGCTAAAACTTTTGTCACTCAGGGGTGTGTTTTTTCACACCCCCAAATTACTAAAGTTTTAGCGCTGAAAGTGGCAGTGGAGACACAGCCTTAGTGTTCACCTTAACACTCCCAACCCCTCTTTATCTGATTTGTAAATAAACAAATCAAGCAGTGACTATGAGTCTGGCCCTGAATCTTTAATCTGGTAAAACTCCAATCAAAACCAAGGACTTTCCTGGAGAAGGGTGATCTCTTAGGGTTTAATCATGTGTAACTGGGGTCAGTAGGAGTTTTGCCATTCATCTCAATAGGTGCAGGGCCTTAATACATGTGAATTCAACAGGAGGTGTCCTGTTGTAGGATTAGGTGAGTCTCTGAGATCAGAGGGGTACCACTGCAATTTAATACAAAAGAATAAGAAACAGTGGCTTTCTTTCCATCATAAGTCCCCATCTGTTTTGTGAGGAGAAAAACGGTGTGAGGTTCCTTGTATCATTCAAAGAGGACTCCTCGTTGGCTTTACTGATACAGACTAACACGGCGATCCCTCTGAAACTTGTATCATTCAGTCAGGCTCCTTGTGGATCTCAGGAAGATGGTGCTGTGGAGATTGCTGACCCCAGGCCCCTCTCTTCTGCATGGGAAGTGGAAGATATGTAGAGATCCTGGCATGATCATTTCACATACACATCTACCGTCTAGATGTAATGAGCGTCTGTAACTCCCAATGACTGGCTCAAAGACACTCAGGATCAGCCCTCATCTGACTCACACGTGCAGAATAAACCTCCACAGAGCTGACTATAGAGAGAAAAATAACCAAAGAAATGCAGGAACACATTTCAGTGTGTGACACCACTTTAAACGTTGGGAAGTGCAGAGTTTTATTAGTAAAAGCCTTGTTGCGGTATGGTTTATGTTCTGTGATTGAAAGAACACTGGGGCTTGGCACTTAAGGAAAATTTCTTGTACAGAGTTAGAAAGCACTTGTTCAACAAGATTATCCCTGCATGTATGGTACAGGTGCATAGCAGGCCCCGGTTTTATGTTTAGCTTTCACATCAGCATTACATGAGTTTGGTTTCTGAAATGTAGTTCTGAAGTCTTTTGATGCTGCTGTCCAATTCATCTCTGACCAGTTCCCCTTTGATGTCTAGCCCCATAAATGGGTAGGGACAAACATTTTCAATAAAACATCAACAGAACAGCACTGGTATCCCAAAAATCCCCCTTTGCAGAACAGACACTTTTTTTCTGATGCTAAATATTTCTGATGCCAAGAACCACCTAGCATTTTGAAATTACTCTGTATTTAAAGTCACACTGGTAATTGCTTTTATGGTGTACATATAAGTGCATCTTACTGGCAAACCTTAATTCAGTGGTGAGATTTCCTGGCCTGCGAACAGACTTACTGCTCAAATATATTTGAAAAGGAGAATGCTAGTACTGTTTTTGCTTGAGTCAAGGCACAATCAGCTTTTGGAATGGATTTCAGCTTCCACGACCATGGCGATGACAAACTAAAGGGTACATTTTCAGGGTAGTGCAGAAGGATTTATCCATGCTATTCCCATTAATGTTAATGGGAGATGTGTAGCCAAATCCCTGGCTCACCATACTGAAAATTTACCCCAAATCTCCAAGGAGAAGGGCGCTAATTGGATTGCTCAGTTTAAATCCTTCTGCTAGTCAGTCTATGGAAAGGCTTTAGCACTGGCTCTGGAAAAGGCTTTACATGGCTTTACAATGCAGTGCATGGAAAGATTCCTTTTTCTTTCTATGATTAATTGCGAGGCTTGAGGTGACATGGGACATAATGAAATTCATAAATGCCAAAAGCCATCCCTAGTCACATTCTTGACTGTTGGCTTAAGCTAGAAACTGACAGAAGTGTGAACAAATCAAGGTTGGTCTGATAGCTTTTCAGTTATGGGGAAGAAAAAGTAACTGACATGAGAAACTGCTATGGATGGTTTAATGGGTTCAAGTTCACATAAAACTGATTCTTTGCACTTACGTACATTAAGGATCTCAATATGATTTGGAAACCAGTGTACTCTAGACCACACCATGCCTGAGTGACAGCACCTATCTCCATTTTACAGATGAGGAAACTGGCACAAAGAATCAAAACAATTTGCCAAAAGAAGCATGTGGCAGAGGATGCAACAGAATTCATCTCTGGTAGGCCTTTGCCTTAACTGCATGATCATCCATTCTTCCCTTCCTAGCATTGGCTTTCCCTTCTACAACAACACATTTTCTATAGTGAATAGGTCCTTCTGGGGACTTGCACTCAAACTGCAGATGGTTTAATACTTCCCCATCCCCAGATTTTAATCACACAACAATTTCTGGTTTATCAGTCCAGCTTTCTAGTTTCCAAAGGACAGTGCAAAGCACCTGAGGTTTGATTATAGATTGACCAGATACTAATGCGGTGATCTTTTGAGCCAGCTGCCAGCAGTCTTTCACTTGGCCTACTGTGATCTGAGAAGGATACACAGTGGACAGTTGCTGTGTGGTAGTCCAGTATTGCCAAGGGCTTCAGTTTCTTCCAGCCAAAGATCCTGATACGATGATCCCACCCTGCTGTTGCCAGGATCTTCTTGTCCTGGCGGATGGCAACATCAGCAATCCCAGCATTGATGAGTTTGTGTGTTTTCTGAACCTGAGCGATAAAGTTGAAGTTATTTAAAGTGAGTGCAACAAAACAAAATCTTTGTGATTTTAGAGTTAGCAACAAACACCCGGGTATCAATTTGCCTGTTAGTGGGTATCCCAACTTCTAAACCACACGTGGGGGTGATGCAGTAGTTAGGATAACAGTAGATAGAGACAGAAGACCACAAGAGTCTACCTTCAGCATGGTCTCTTTAAAAAAAAGTGTCCCTTGTACACTTATTGCAATTTAAATGGTTTCTACTCTGCCATCACTGAAAAATTGGTTTAAGCGAGAATAGTCAGTCTATACAGCTTTGCTCTCTCACTCTTGTTATTCTTAGAGATGGGCCTGAGCTGCAAAGTTTAGAGCCACAGCCTTGTTTCCAGACTTCAGGGGTATTCCTATGAAGGGTTTTTGGCCTACTATTAAACTACCTGCTACTGGTTCCTACTGATGTGGTCCCCTGAATCACCAATAGAAATCTGTATTTCCAGCACTCATTCCCAGGAGATGTTTGATGCACCCCCTAGTGAGAAGGGGATTATGAACTAGTTACTGATTTCAAACTTGGAAGCATTTTATTGTTGTTGTTGTTAGAGGATTCTTCGGGCTCACACCTGTGAGGTGCACAACTTGACCTTAGCAGCAGTTGAGGGCAGTTAGCATCCCTAACGAGATACTGAGCACTTTGCAGGATTGAGCCCTTAGGGGGAAAAAAAAGTGTTTCAGTTATGGAAGGGGTGTGAGAGTGCATAGAAAACAGACTTAACCTGAGTATCAAACTAATAACTATTGTCTTATCACTTAGTGCCGATAATATCGTTATTTAGGCAGTGTCAATATATAAGAAAGCTAGTACATTTCAGCACATACACTGAAAAGAGAAAGACTTTGGGGGTATACTCTTACCACAGTGTGCTATAATTGTTATATATATATATATATATACATACACACACAACTCCCATTTATACAAGGGGATAACACATCAATTCCTCCATAAACTGAAGTGAGAACACACTCTTCAGGAAGTAACTCTCTTGTAAAAAACAAAATAAAACAAACAGAGAACTCAACATCATTCAATTTAGAGTTCACATAAATTTGTGGGTGGTGGCTGTTTTCCTAAGGGGAAAGTTGTGCTGAAGTGCTCTTCAATGTGTACACTTTTCCTCTGCAAAATTGGTGCATTATATACAGCACGAGGTCAATTAAAAATCATATTAGTTCCCTAACAAGTCTACTAATGTAGTTAAAATCTAGATCAATCCCTTACTTGAATTATGAAAGTATATACACAATCAAGCTGAGGACACCCCAGCACCTTGCAGGATCAGATCCAAAACAAGTTCCAGTATTTTTAAACCTCTAATAATTATCCAAGAACTAGTTTGTTGTTTATTTTTTTAAGCAGCACTCCAATACCTCAATGATATATATTAATGCAAATTCCTTAAGAGAATGGTTAATTCAAAACCTGACATGTGCTTTCTGCAGCCACCATACAAAATAAGACAGGAGATGGAGATGTCCTGAAACAGAAAATGAAGAATAAGGGTAGTAGATCCAAATGGAACGAATACTGGAGGCAAGAAAGCAAAATTGGAAGTGTTATTGAGGCTTGGTCTATGCTTAAGTTTTGGCAGCATATCTATGTTGAGTAGCAGTTTGAAAAAACCTCACCACTAATTAACATGGTTTTGCCATCAAAAGCCCTAGTGTAGATGCAGTTATGCTGGCAAAAAGCCCTTTTGCTAGCATAGCTTTTTAGTTCAGGGAATTGATATAAGCTATGCCGCCAGAACTCTTTTGCTGATCCTTTGTCAGTACAGCTATACCGCTATAGCTACAGCTTCAAACCCTTTCTAGTACAGACAAGGCTTAAGGCCAGATCTACACTAGAACCACTTTTATACTATACCAGCAAAGCATTTCTAGCGTGTCTGCACTTTATAGTCTCAAAACTGCACTTCCGCTGGTATAGCTTATTTCAGCTCCCTGAGAGAAATAAACGCTTCCAGGAAAAGTACCATTTTGCTGGCATAACTGTGTCTACACAAGAGGCTTTTGCTGGCACTGCTATGTCAGTCAGGGATCACACCTCCTCACATGCCTGACCAACATAGCTATATCAGCAGAAGTCTGTATTGGAGACATGGCTTAAGTAACGGAGGTTGTGAACCTGGGCATAACCAAAGCTTAGTTCTGAGAACTGTAGTAGTAATGTCAATAGAAATGGACAAGATCTGTCCAGAGAAGATAATTGGAATTACATGTCAACAGCAAGTTACGAGTTGACAATGAAGACTGTAATGGTAATGTTCTTTGGTTAAGGAATGGTAAGGAAGTAACAGTATCTGCTAGAGACCCACCAGAAGAAGAAGAGAGCCAGGATAAAACTCCTGGACAAACACTCAGGGAATTGGTAACCTGATGCTGTGGTCAGGGGATTTGAGCGAGCCGCCTTAAAAGCTCCTGGGCAATGAATGTAACCAAAAAAACACATCAGCCAAGTTTCCAAAGTAGAAAACCATTTCATGATCCAGAAAGGAAAGAATCGAACCAAAGGAGATCTGGATTCTCTGCTTTCAGCCAATCATGGCCAAGGTTAGTCACATATCCTAACAACTATGGCCTGATTCTTTGACCTGCCACTCCCTTTTCACTCAGGAGAGACTTATTTTTTTTTTTAAATAATCCACCTGTAAACTCGTATTCCCTCAAGCCCTGCCCTTGTTCTGGGCCCTTGTTCTAGCCAAGAAGGCAGCAACAACACTGAGCTTTTAAAGCCTAAAGAGGCAAGAAAAACAAATTTTCTGATGATTTACATTGTGGTTTGTCGAATCTTCCTTTTCATTATGTACCCAGAACAAGGTGGAGTTTATGAGCAGTAAAGAGCTTTTGCAATTATTGAATGCCTCAGCTCTGCTGTGCTGATTAATCACCCGCAAAAGCTGTTTATTGCCTTCTGTATTCCTCTGCCACAAACATTATCCCTTAATTATACTATCTCATCCAAATCAGAAGCCTCATAACCAATCCAGCCATTCACTGATACTGATGACTTCAGCAACTTACTGGTACCAGACAATATGCCAGCTTCCCTCCTGGGGATAAGCCATGTAGTGAGCTTCATCGTCTTTTCACTGACACACTGGAACACTGCCACATAAAACAGCAGAGCAGTGCCATCATTGCATCATTATTTCTCCAAAGGCAGATAGCTATGCACCAAGTTTAGTTATTAAAACTTTTTAGAGTAAAAATAGTGTGCCACTGAGTGGCTTTCCAAATACTACCATTACCTCAGGTACCTGGAATGTCAGGAAAAATCCCCATCTGGTTTGTGTTATTAATGCAACAGTGGAAAAAAACTTAATCTGTGTCCTTGACTATTTCTAGCAGTCGTGTGGGAGACACATTTTATTTATTTTATTAGTGGATTCACACTATGCATGAAGTGAAAAATGTTATTTATGGCTTAATACTTTGCACTTAAATAGCACTTCATCCAAGGAAAACGACTGTCAGTTAAAGCTGCAGTAACCAACTGTGCATCTACTGGGAATATAGGTTTGGAACTACAGCCCATTAAAAAAACCAAACCTGAAATACCCTCAGGTGAACAACTTCAGAGTTTATTCACCCCTCAAATCACACCTGTAGTCTCCCATTAGGATTAATTCATAACACATAACTGAGAAGATATTGTGAGGGAAACATCCCTTTCTTTCCTACTTGATTTATCACAGACTAATGTCAATACAGAAAATCCAGTGTAAGATAGCTATATTGAATAAAAACAAATTACTCCTCCTCCTAGGATGAAATTCACTTCTGCCTCTACAGTGTGTGCACACAAAGCTGCAGGAAACCCAGGAGCTTGAATAGCAGCTGCTCCTCCTCCAGAAGGCAGTATAAATGTAGATCCAGTAGCCGCTCCACCAAAGGATCCCTGCAGACTGCTTCACACAGGAGTTGCAAAGGCCCCTCTCTATGACCCTTCCACTCATATGTTGTGAAGAGAGACTCAGGCAATGTAGAATGCCTTGTGGGCCCATTTACACTTTCATAAATTTTATCCACAATCATCATTTGGCTACTTCTGTACTAGAATACCAGATCCTAGAATTACTACCACTCACCCCTTGGCACTGAAACAACTTTTACTAATGATGTCCAGATTAAGCCACGGTCAATGCCATTCACCATCATTAGGCTCAACTGGTTTCTTAGGCCATATCCTACGTAAGCGGAGTGTTCTAGTACCTAAACTGACATTGGTAACTTGTTTTCATATCTGAGGTTGAAATTTTCAAAAGTGCTTAAATCCCATTGATTTTCAGTATTAGTTGGGCAAGTAAATCACTTATTCTAACCTTAATCTTTTATTTGTAACTGTCTTAAAATGTTTCTCTTTCCTAAGATAAAGGGAAAACTCTAGGCACTCAAGCAAAATCCTTAGGAAAACAACTCTTTATTTCGATTTACAATAATTTCATTTATTAAGTGCTCTGAGTATTGGACAATAATGTAATGATAAAGAAATGTATAAAAATAGTGACTTGCGGAATGGTAGGCCTATGTGCTGGTTGCTTAAACCCAGCTTTGGTAAAACCAGAAACACGTGAAAGGTTTAAAAAAAATCCCCACCTTTCTTCAACTATAGCCTAACTGCACGGACAGCCTTCTCCTGCATTCTAACCAGTCTGTGATTAATTAGTTAGAGATCTGCAACAACTCCTCTTCATGACTAAATATTTTTTTAGTCTATCCAACTGTTAGTGCAAAGCGGGATAAATGACACAGAGGGGCCGATGATCCTGACCTTTAAATTCTGCTGCTCATCGAGGCTCCAGACGGTAAGCACCTCCTCAGATGAGCCCGAGACCCCCTTCGTCTTTTCAGAGTCAAAGTCAAGGCTCATCACTGGCTCCTGGTGGCAAGCAAGTCGGCTTAATATTTTTCCCCCTGATAAATTCCACAGAATCACTGATCCATCCTCGTAGCCAGCCAGAAGAAAAGGACATGAACCAAAGTCAGGCTGTTCAGAAACAACAAAAAGTTTTACAAGAACTGTTATTTTTCACATCCCCCAGACAGGCTTTAGCCAAAGCACCAAGAAAAGTAATAAAAAAACCCTAACATTGAAGTGAACAGTGTTAGAGCAGAGAGCTTCAGAAGGCTGCCACTAAAGGCAACCTCTGGTGCTCCATACATCTTAATTCAGAACAATTACTGTTAAATCATTTCTGAAGTGTCCATCATTGTAGCACATAATTACTTTCCTTCCTGAAAATCTAAACAATTTTCCTCTTTATCACTTGATTCAAACATCATGACCCTCAAAATGTCAGAATCTCATAGGGAGATAGTTCATGGCATAAGCTTGAGTGGGGCTCTTCAGTAAATATTTAGACACAGTAACCAAGTTATAACCAGGCTATCAGAACCAAATTCATTTTGTTCTCAGAAAGTTATTTCCGAATTTTTAAGATAGAATACCAAACTTACATTTTCAACATTTTACCATGATGCATGCTCCATTTTCTCACAGAAGTGGGTTTTTATACCACTTTCCAATCTCACATAATCTCTTGGATTACTTTTGTCCATTTATCCCACTAATTAGATTCCACTTTCATCTTGCCAAGGTGAAAACACCCATGAGTCCTGCATGCAGATAATTTCTCCAAATGCACTGCACTGTTTAAGACCCAACAGCTAATCCTCTATTTGAAAACCTCTTTGTTAGTTACCAAAGAGTTAACAGAGGTCTGAATCCCACTGTAACCAATTGAGAGATATTTTGATTAATGATGTCACAGGCCAAAGGGCATGGCACCCTGGGCAGACACCTAATTTATTTAAGCCTCTGAAATAACTCAAAGAAGGGAACGTTACTGGATTACATGTCACACTTAAGGAAAATATTCATCATTGCACTAGCCAAAAGGCTAATGACCCTGTAATCGGTAACTGGTCATGTGAGCTAGGATGCAAATCCCTAATGAAAAGCAACTGAAAAACAAGCACGTGTAAATGCCAACTATGTCTTTAATAGGAGAAAAGCTACCAGAATAGGCCCAAGTTTAACACCAGCATGTATAGGGACGTCTTGTCCCAGTAATGCCTATGCTAGCTTATTTTATTATTTTCAAACACCTCTCTGTTGATCCTATGTGCCTACTGTGTTTGGTGTTTGATTTTAAAATAAAATTCAAAGAAGTTTCCAGAGAATGAGTTATCACCTACCATTCTGTGTCACTATATGGGCTTTCTCTCAAATCACCAGAGACTCACTAGCATGACACAAATCTGTACTGGTCAAATCTTCACCGTCTCTATTCATTTTCCAGACTACTCTCACACTAGTTATTGAAACATTCATTTTAGGAGTAGCTAAACAAACAAATAATGGGTGGTCCTGCTAATAAGAGCTCTCCTTGATAAGTGAAGGGAAAGAAAGTGGCCTTTCATGAACGCTTGCAGTTAGAGCCCTGATCCTTTCTTCATAGCCCCAAGATATATGTTCTTTCAATCTAAGGAAGTGCTCAATGTGGGAAGGAATCCTGAAGTAAATATCAGCGCTGGCAAAACCACAGAACTGGACTGAAAGTGGCCTGTAAAAACAACAAGAAAACAAAGCAAAATCCCCCGCACCTATCTTATGAAGGGGCAGCGCCCAGGCATTTGTGTGTGTGATCTTCTTAGCTGATCTTGGCTCCAAATGAAGGCTGGGATCCTGTGGATGCCACAGCCTTTACATGACAGAATCCTCTTTCTCCTGCAAAGGCAAGGCTTAGCTTGTTCTCTGGTTGGAACTATGAGATGCTCATACAATGAATGAACATCAGCCTGTGACTCTTCAAGAGCAATTATCTCCAAGATGTGGATAACTTTCACTAGTCAATACAGCAAGATATCTATGGGCCAGCTTGTCAGGTCCTTTGTCTTTTTCATAATTTAATGGGCAAACTTTTACAGGTTCTTATCACCCTGCAGTTCCCACTGAGAATACTAGTTCCCACTGAGAATACTAGGAACTGCTGGGTGCTGAGCATTTTAGAAAAATCGGGCCCCAAGTTTTTGGTTTTCTTAGTGAAAATAAACGACTATGAACTGACGATAGCCAAAACTGGTCTCATTTAAAAATAAACAGTTTTGCATGAAGAGGAGAATGTTTGTACAGGGTAATACAAATTACATGAAGTTTCATATTTGAACAAGTATACATGCTTGTGTATGTGCAAAGTTATGATATAGTTATTGAAATCAGCTGGATTTCTAGGTTTGAGCCCTTACTTACAAAGCATTAAATCACAATAACCTATTTGCTTCAGTAATGGGCCCCATTAAAGAAAAATCTTCAGCTCTCATCTTCTGGTCTCAGGGGAAATTAATTTTTTTTTTTATAAATAAGTCATATTTTTCCTCTTAAGCAGAACATTTTGTTGTTTTTGCATTTGGATAATTGTCAAGGAAGGAAGAAAAGGTGATCCGCTGTCAGCTCGACAGGAATAATTGCTATAGTTTATATAAAGCAATAACTCTGCATTTCCAGTTTCTACATGTATTATTCTTGTTCAATTTTTTTTGTTTGTCCATTACGCAAGATGGTGCCTTTCCCAGGGAGTGCAAAAAATAAATGTAAGGGAAGACATCCTCACTCTTGCAAATCCTACCACACCCAGTTAATAATGTCTGGAAGGTGTGAAGCGCAACAGACAATCACTGTGTATCATTTGCATTTATGAATATGCTCCTTTGTGAGGGGAAAAATACTGGTCTCAATCATGGATCAATATTTATAAATATAGATTTAGTAAAATGAGATCTTAATTTTTTACTGAGCCCTCAACATGACAAAATATGCTGATGCCTGCTCTTTAATTGCTTAGGAGAAGCCAATGTCTCTTATACAAGTCTAACCTAAGCCTCAATTTCCTCCCACTCTACTCAGTTTCAAAAGCTGTTCCCAGTAGGGATATTATTTCACTGATTCACAGAGCATTTTTGAATTAGCATGCAGGAGGCTAGGATACATGGAACGTGTTCATTTAGTCTATGGTTTTACTGCAGAGGCTCACAATGAGAAAACCCATCAGGACATTTCTAATGAAAGCACGAAACCGAAGGAGAAGTATTTTCACTATAAAAAACAATAATGATAAGAATTAGAGTACCTTCCATCCCAGGACTTCCAATAGTTTCACAAACATGAATGAATTAAACCTACACTCTATCAAACGCTGAGCTGAGCATTTATTAAACCTTTTAAATCTTATTTGGCTTAATAAAAATGCAGTAGTACTGTTTTCATTTATTTCTGATTGTACATGAATCCTTAAACCGCCATGGGTTAGATCTATGGGCCCATATTCATTTGGCCGAGGTCCATAGCAAAACTCCTTTTTGATTTCAAGGGAAGCAGGATGGGGCCTTGGCACACTAAAACCCCATTCCCACATCTGCTTCATAAGGCGTTTTCTTCCATGCAAGTCAAAGGGAATTTTGAGTGTGGAGCAATGGTAGGATCCGATTGCAAGCATTTGATAATTTGTAAATAATTTCCAATGATGTAGCACTAACAAACACTGTGAGGGAATGTGGTCTAAGTGGTTAGAGTAGAGAACTGTGAATCAGGATTTCTATTCCCACTGCAGCCACACTACACTGTGAGACTTAGGGCAAATCACTTAAACTTTCTTTTCCTCAGCTGGGCTATGATACCTACCTTATAATTACAAAGACTTTTAAAAATAATTGTTTTATTTCTATTTTTCATCCAACGTAAATACAAGGCGTAAACACTTTGTGCATATGCCATGTCTAGAATAAAAAATGTTCAATAACCTATTTTCTTAGCGGATAAGTGCAACCTATCATTAAAATTGCTATCTATGTCTTAAACACCACAATCACTTTTCATCACCCTTTTTTATAATGAGAGACCATATCAAAAAATTGGCTTCTGTACTTCGCTCATTTTCTTCTTGACTGATGCAAAAACATTGCTTCTATTCTAAGGTTGCAAAGCCTCCAGTAAGCATTTGCAAGTCATGTACCTTCCATTAAAGCGTGGATTACTCAGAAAATTACACTAAGGATGTTCACAAGTATCTGCCTCCCCCACCCCGCTCCCTTTATAGTATATTACTTGATTGTTTGACAATAAATCAAAACCTGAGTGAAGAACGATTTATGTGCTCCGTATAAAACGAAGCACAGGGAAAACATTTCACAATTAGCAGGCCTGGTTACCTTACCTGCCATAGCTTCAGACACATGGGCATGCCCGGTTTGGCATCCGCCTCTGGCTTCAAGGTACAGACTGACGTCTTGGATGGCAGTTCCAAAACCTGAACCTGACATTAGGTAAGCAAGTTTATTTGGTCAGGCTCCAGGTCACAATTTTGCTGTACAAACATGACTCTTATAATGTGATTAAGGCTGGGTGTAAGCTCTTTGATTTTTTTAAATACACTCTCGAGGGGGGGATTTGGGAAGGAGTCTTAAATCTCAGCAGGATTTAAGTTGTTTTTGGAACTCTGATAGCTGTAGTATCCTTATCTAGATAGACACATTGTTTTATAAGAGAATGAAACAAAGTTGTTGGGATATAACATAACTTCCTCTTCCACTTTCTGCTATTTCCTCCTTATTTTGCAATCATCTCCAATACAACTGGATGTTAATGCAGGCTGATTTTATTTTTAAAAATCTTCCTTTTTCTCCCCGCGTTTCCTCTTCCTTTATTTTTGTTGTTAAACATGGCTGTTAATACAAGTATCCACTAATGAATGTATCTCATCCTCATCCCCTACATTATGGCTACACAATGGTCATGTATGGGGGTACAGCATCATACTGATTTCACATAGTTTTTTCCTCTGGCTGAGTCTACACTAGCAAAATTCAGATCCATAATTCTCCACTGGTGCAAGCTGTAGCACTGTCAGGACACAGGCATTTTTATTACCATATAGCCTGACCCTATTTTGAATAGGGTCAAACATCACTGTGTTAAATACTTGTCCCTTGTCTACACAACAGCAGTCACCATTGCTCGCAGTGCAATTCCACTGCAGTGCTGTGGGAAAGGCAGTGCTGTAAAATTTGGGGAGTCCAGCTATGCAATATGTCTTGGGATGCACGTTGGGGCAATAGAAAAGGCAGTTACCTTTTCCATAACTGGTGTTCTTCGAGATGTGTTGCTCATGTCCATTCCATACTAGGTGTGTGTGCTCATCACATGCACCGATGCTGGAAGTTTTTCCCTTAGCGTATCCGTAGGCGACCGGCTCTGGCGCCCCCTGGAGTGGCGCCCGCATGGCACGGTATAAGGGGTGCTGCCAGCTCCCCCCACCCTCAGTTCCTTCTTGCTGGAAACTCCGACAGTGGGGAAGGAGGGCGGATCATGGAATGGACAAGAGCAACACATCTCAAAAAACCCCAGTTATGGAAACGGTAACTGTCTTTTCTTCTTTGAGTGCTTGCTCATGTCACTTTCATATTAGGTGATTCCAAAGCAGTACACCTGGTGGAGGGTAGGAGAAGCCCCAGGTTGGACGCGACCCTTTTCAAAAGTTCCTGGTGCGCTTTGGTGTCATCCTGAGGAACTGGGTGAGGGGGCTCCATGATAGCCTCATCTGGCAATAACGAGGATAATGCAAGTGCCACAGGGACCTCTATTTCCCTTGGTGGTCCAGCAGCTTGCTCCCTTGTGTCCTCCTGGACCTGTGGGGTCTTACCCACCGAAGCCTTGAGCACTGGAGGGGGATGAGATACCAAGGCCACTGGCTTCTCTGAGGCTACTGATGCCAACCGGGAGCGCTGGGAGGGTTGGGTGAACCCCCAAGGGTTCCCTGGGTACCATGTCGCCGGCCACAGTGCCTGGAGCCATAGGACAGGTTTTGGTGCTCATGATGTAGGTGGCACCGCAGGTACCTGGGCTTGTCCCACAGTCAGGGAGCCTCGCTCCATGCTGGAGATATAAACGGAGCAGTCGGTACCGGGTGACCAGGATCAGGTGGAGTGTCCGACCGGTGCTGGTCACTGCGTCCCGAAGCCGACCTGTCCAAGCGAGACGGTCGTCTTGGTCGGGATCTTGGGGACCGATCTGCGTCGGAGATCCAGCGATCCACGCCTCACGCTACTCGACCAGTACCGGGACGTAGAACGGGAGCGGGAGCTAATACGGGCCAGTTGCCAGGAGGATCTTCCCGAGTAGGGTGACCTATTCCTAGAAGACGGGCGATGACGGCCCAGTGATCTGCGATCTCTGATCCTCAATCAGTCCTGTGATTAGTACCAGGCTCTCGGAGAGAGTCGGGGCTGGCCCGGAAGTTCTTGCTGGGTGGCGCGTGCCTCAGAGGGTCTGCTCCAATCTACCTGCGAGGTACGTCTCGAGTCCCTCGAATGGTGCCCTCTGTGCAGCAAACGAAGAGGGCTCCGCTGAGCCTGCCTCTCTCATCCTGAGGCGTGATGGCTTCGGGCAGGCGAGCGATGGTGGGACGTCCCTCTCGATGGGGAATGGTGCTGCTGAGGCGGGGACACATGCATAGGTCCCAGTGCGGGTTTTCCCCAAGACTGGGGTACTGCTGGAACCGGTGTGGGTGGCACCGGGAGCGTCAGGATCTCCTGAGCTGCTTGAAGGGCTTTGGGCGTCGATGGCACCTGAAGCTGCCCGTGGCCTGCACCGTTATCTGGAGTCGCAGGCAAAGTGTGGGATGGGCTGCACCGTTTGACCTGAGTTGGAGCCCAACTTCCTGAGGGAGTTGTTGAGCTGCCTGGCATGGGTCGTGGCTCGCCCCCAGGCCTCTCCTTTCCCTTGCGGGAGGTGGGAGATCTTCCCCTGACAGTCTTTTTCGGATTCTTGACCGGAGCCATGGAGGGGGACCGGTGCTGGCGGAGTACTGTGCACGGAGGCCGTGGTGCTCGGTGTGGAGTGGGACTGCTGCTCCAGTGCCAGAGTTAATGCCGACTCCATAAGGAGCACTTTCCGATGGATACCACACTCCTTCTTCGTCCTAGGTTTAAAGGACTTGCAGATACGGCACTTGTCACTTATGTGCCCTTCGCCTAAGCACTTAGGCAGCTGGTATGTGGATCGCTGACGGGCATAGGCCGTTTGCAGAGATCGCAGGGCTCAAAGCCTGGGGACCGGGGCTGTTACTGGCGGCAAGAAGGAACTGAGGGTGGGGGGAGCTGGCGGCGCCCCTTATACCACGCCATGTGGGCGCCACTCCAGAGGGCGACAGAGCCGGTCCCCTATGGATACTGCTGAGGGAAAAACTTCCGGCACCGGTGCACGTGGCAAGCGCACACACCTAATATGGAATGGACATGAGCAAGCACTCGAAGGAGAACTACCACTACATAGAATCACCAGTCATTCCCCTTGTGTAGAGGGGCACAAGTGCTGTAGAGGTGACTGGAGCCCAGAGGCTGGAAGGGAAGACAATAGTGTAGAGGATGCTGCTGCTCTGAGTCTTGGGACAAGAGGAAGTTTTCTTCCCTCAACACAGCTGCTCAGTCTGGAGACAGGATTCGGGGCTATTTGATTCTCACACACTATTGTTATTTGTATTGTTTGGGTAAATAACACAATGCATTTAACATTTGAATACACCTTTAATTATTAAAAATAAAAAGGTATAAATCTGCATTTAAAGGGCTATTTCAAGAAAGCCTTATCCAAGCACTCTTTTCAATCTGTTTTACAATCAATATTTCTAAGTTTATAACATACACAGCAAAGCCTTAAACAGCTGCGAATTTAAGCAGAAGAAAACGAACAACCCTATTTCAGTATATTTGATAATCTACAGAAGTACTGTTCTTCTTCTAGGATATCTCAAAAGTTGAAAGCAGCCAAATCACTTTTTTGGGTAAAACTAAATTAACAAAAATACAAACACCCAAGAAACGCATAGAACACTAAAAAGCAAAACTCCAATTCTTGTTACCTTTGGAGACATTTATGTTAAATGCTCGTGCCATAATATTTATACTCCTGGGGGAATTCTGTGCCACTGCGAATGCACAGAATTCATACCCCCCACAGATTTCTTTGCTTCCGCCCCGGGGAAAAATTACTTTCTGACCAGGAAGCTGCGAGAGCAGTCACAAACCACTCCCTAGCAGCGCAGATGCATCGTTTCAGGCACCCAGAGCAGCCGGCAGAGGTAAATCACCACGGGGCTGGGAATACCCGAGCCAGTGGCTCCCACCCTGAGCTGGGATTAGCTGCTAGTTCTGGCTGGGCTGGAGGCAGGAGAGGATGGGACTTCCTCTTCCCCTGCAAGGAGTGGCTGGGGCTGTGTCAGACCGACCCCCCAAAACTTCCCCCAGCTGCAGGAAGCTCCCATCGCTCCTCAGCTGTGGTAGGAGGGGTCACTGTACGGGGATCTGCTCCCCCATCCACCCAACCCCCGTGCATCTGGACCTCCCTTACCCAGACACCCCTGCCAAGCCTCACCCGGTACATCCAGAACCCCCTAAGCCCTCCATACCTGAATCCCACCCACTGAACCTCACCCCTGCATCTGGAGCCCTCCTGCAACCAGACCCCCTGCCTCCGAACCCCCACCCCTGCACCCAGACTGCCCGCCCACTGAGCCCCCGCACTAAAACCCCCACCCTGATGCCCCACCCCGTGCACTACCCTGAGCCCTCACATCCAGACCCCCATGCCACTGACCTCCAATTAGCTGCACCCCGACCCCCACCCCACCAAGCCCCACTCCCCCATCACCCACACTCAGCCCCACCACCTTCACCTGGAAGTCCCTGCAGAGTCCCATTTCCCCTGCACCTAGAACCGCCCCCAGTGAGCCTCTGTGCATCCAGATCCTCCCACACCTAGACCCCCCCACTGAGCTGCCTGCACCCGGATTGTCCCACACAGAATCCTCTCACTCCACACCCGGATCCCTCCACACTGAGCCCCTCTACACATTGATCCTGCTTCATTGAGCCTGCCTGCCCCACACCTGGTGCACCTGGCGCAGAGGGGCAGGGCCCCAGGGTGTTTCTGGGGCAAGCCCAGGCCTGGTGCTGTGTCAGGGTTGGGTGCAACCTCACCGTTGAGTCCGTGTCCTGGGGGGGAGCAGGGTGATCTCCCACCTTTGTGCAGCCAGTGGCCTGTGCTCCCCACTGCCATGCTGGAGCCTCCTCATTTATTTATTGACAAATAAAACTTACAGAATTTTGCAGAATTTTAAAATAGTGCGTGCTGAATTTTTTGGCGCAGAATGCCCTCAGGAGTAATAATATTTACCACAGAAAGCTAACTCAATAAGGCTCTGCAAGTGATTGGATTTTAATGGCATAGAATTAATCAACTCTTTATAAGAACTGTTCTAGACCTCAAACTATTTAAATCCCACTTCATAATTCCAGTCAGCCCAAGAGGTTTAACACTTAGGGGTGTATCATCAGCAGATCTGAGGGGGCCATACTCATAATTGGCACAGTGGAGAGGATGATGGTTTTAAAGTAATCTTTCTATCTCCCCTGATCCTGGGTCCAGGAGGCTCTGGAATAAACCCCAGTAACTCTACAGAATCCTTTAGGCTGCTCAAAATTATGCTGGCTGTGGCTGTCATAGGGACTGATGTACTGGCTAAGGGATATGAGCTCTGGCCCTCCTCATAGCTTGCCTCTGTCCACACCCCTTATACAGAGAAAGTGAGGAAATGGATGGTGTAAAGCCAACATAGCCAGCTCTATATTGTCTGAGGATTCTCCTACAACAGGGAGAATCCTTGACTGTCTGTTTAGTGCAGCTTTCCAGCCCCTTTGTGCTGCATGCAAAACAGCTGGATTAGGGGCTGAGGATCAAGCCCTTAGAATTTTCATTTCTGTGCATGTCCCATGGCATGATAAATGGGCAAAATTGTCCATGTCAATTTGCATTGAGGTAGTTGAATTCCTACCTAACAAATATTTATTGTCAGAAACATTATTCATATTTCCCCCCTAGCACAAACGCATGTTTAATTACTGAGGTTACATTTAATTTTATTTAAATAAACACTTGCCTGGAATCTCTACTTCTGAATGAAAAAGGAATGTAAATGTTTGGTATCTCCAAGGGTTACCAGCCTGGGTCATTCTGGTATATTTTAGGGCCAAATTTTGCTTTCAGATACAAGCATACAACTTCAACTCTAGTCAATGTGAGTTGGGCAAATCCATCTGAGATACTGGCCATATGAGAGTTTTTCTCTCCTTCGGGAGCCATCAATCAAGCCAGAGGCAGCTGTGGTCTCCTTTGATTTCCATATCTTTACTTCAAAGCCTGCCAGGACATCTTCCTCAATTCTACAGGCTGTCAGCTGGTTTGCCAAAAGCCAGCTGCTCTCCAGCATTGGGGAAGCCAGAATGTACTAAAAAAAGAACATAGGGAAGCTTTCGAAGCCCTATCAACAATGGAAGAGGAGACTATTTCCAGACTGCAGTGATGAGGAGCCATCCCCAAGAACAGGACAACTGCAGAGAGCACATTCAATTTCGGCTAGCTGGGAGCTTTTGTTAATTGGAGTCGGACTAGAACTAAAAATTCTCTTTTCTGGAGACTCCGTTGCCACCACTGGTAACCAATGAGTTAGATGTAGCAATAACTGGAAAAGAAATAGCAGAAAGAATTGCACTTATCTTTTGTCCCTGGATCTGAAAGTGCTTTAACTCATAGAGCAAAGGAAGCAGGAGACTGAAATTGCAGTGTTCAGAGAAAGAGATGTCATTGAGTTAAGTGCATTGCTGCATCTTTTTAACATTTCATTTATTCCCACCATAATATGCTTCAGACGAGAATTAAACTTCTTGCCAAGGACAAAGGGCAGCAAGAAGACTAAAAGAGCTGTCTGGAGAAGGCAATCAGGCACAATCTGCCCTTGCAGGGTTGACTGTTCCAGAGAAGGAGTCTGCATTAATGGCTATGGAGCTTCAGAAATAAATACCGTTTCATGTATTTTTACAACTGTAACTTAAAACTTGAAGTTCTGTGTTTATATTGGTTTTGCTTAATAGAAGAAAGATTTGCCTTTGCCTGAGGTTAATACTGTTCCTGGGTGGCTAAAGACGGCCACAAGGAAATACACCCTTTTTCTTTTTCACATTAATAAAGCTTTTAACATGTTTCTGGCAAATTGGCAAGAGAAGTGCATGTAACTCATGATTTGTGATTTAAATGCAATCATGAACAAATAAATGCCTGTTCAGATCTTATTATTTATGGACTGAACCTGTTTTAAGACAAAATTACTCTTTTTTGGGCATCAGCCAACCATAAACACTTATTAAGTCTCATTTTAATCATAAGCCACAAAAGTTCTCACTCTGTCTCACACAGTCCTGCCTATTTGGAGGTACTATACATTATAGGAACTTCTGTGAATTTAACAGGTCTAATGTAAAGGCTCATACACACAGAGTGGAACTTTTTTACGTTGGAGGACAGCGAATCGTTATCAGTTTGCAGGGCCCATGCACCCAAATGCAAATAAGACAAAGATGAATTGTAAGAAAGGGGGTAAAAAGCTTTCCTCTTGTGGATTAGTTGATTTTTTCATTCTTCATTGAGAGACAGAGAGAAAATATATGTATATAAGGACCAACGGCCCTCCAATACCAAACAGCAGACTATGTTCCTTTCAGATTTAAGATGAAGTTTTTGCTCTGTAGTACTTTGCTCTTATTGAACAAATATGGGACAACCTTACAATAGCCTTGCTTACAGGCTTAGGGCTTGCCCCTGCAAGGTGCTGAGCATTCTGCCCTTAATCCAGCAAAGCACTAAAATATGTGCATTACTTTAAAAGAATAAAAAAAAAATCCATATTTTCTTGCTATCTGGGCACCATTTATTATTTTTACCTCATATATATGTGCCTTGAAACCCAGAAAATCAATTGTCCTTTGATGCCTATTTGTGATGTTTAGCAACACTTTTTGTTATTATCTATATATGAAGTTATATGCCATTTTCTCTGTATTTCATTTTTTTTGTATTCTATTGTCATATGTCTGGATGAGGATGTATTTTAATATTTATCTGTTTACTACCCTCAAAAATAGAGATATAGATATCTGACTTTTGCATGCCAAACAAAATAAAAACGAATAAAAGATTTCTACAATATAACATTTATAAAATAGACACTATACAACACAAAAGTTGTATCACCCAACTTAAGGTTACTTTTAAAAAAGGTTTTGGCTAATTTAGTGCTCACTAGAGATCAGAGTACAAAAGTCCAGAACAAGTACACCGGGGCAGTGGCAGTGCAAACTACTGCACAATGTCCCCTCAACCCTGTTTTGAAGGGATCCCCTCTATAGAGGAGGGGTTCAACGTCCATGTCCATTCAGAACTTGGCCTCCCTACTGACACTACTAAGAAACCTGTCAAATAATGGCAGTTGTGGTAACTGGTTTGAGACATGGATGTGTGTCCAGTAGGAACTGGATTGAGACCGTCAAATCATGGCACACAGACTTCACTAAACATCCATCAGCTAGTGATAACTTTCAACTATTTCCAACTTGGGCTTAGTAAAACCATTAACATAGGGGTGGAAAGACTATTTATCACAATTCCAATCGCCTCAGCCATCCAAATCTCCCACTATAATACTACTTTAATTTCAGATGAAAGAACAGTATCTCAATATGATGAACTATTTGAACATTAAAGTTAGCCAGCAGATCACTAATTCCCCCTTACTCAGATAGCTGTATTAACAAAAAGTTTTCAAAACTCCTGCATATATAGGATCATCAGCTGCAAATATTTAAATGTCAGATAAAACCAGGATAGAAGCTTTGTTATTAGAGCATGATTTATGGTTCAATCATATCCCTGGCAGGTCCAATTAGTAGCCACAAAGGGCTCCTTGTGTCTCTTCTCTAACAGATTAGTCTGAAAAGGGGAAACCTCATCCATGTCAGATAATTTAAGGAACAAAGCATGCTAAATGTTTTCCCCCTCCAAGCAACAGAAGGGAACAGATTTCCTACCTCATCTAGGTCTTTTCCTGGCATGGCCATTAGCCAATGTCCCTGTGCCACCTTCAGCAGTGAACATTTGCAGAATCCCACGTTCTCAGTGAAAACAGAATCTGTCACTGTGTTCCTTCCTTCTGCCAAATCCCAGAGGCAGATCTTTTGGTTACGACCCTGGCTTTTACAATAAAAAAAATATATATACGTTGTATATGATCATTTACAAATGAGTGTTTTTGCAATAATAACAATATATAAGTTATAATAATTCAAACATAATTATGAAGGTCAGAATCACAAACATAAAAAAAAGCTCATATAACACAGTTTCTCCCAGAAATGAAATAAAAACTTCTTACATGTGTCATCAAACGAACTAAGCAAATAGTAACGACTATACGGACCATGTAAAAGAAGGGCAAAACAAGACAAAACAAAACCCCACCATTTACTAGATAAGGCAAACTAGACAAAGATAATACATGCAAAGAGGTAAAAACTATGTCAAAAGATTCTAGGAATATTGTATATCCATGGAGAGTTAATGGGAGAGAAACAAACCAGTAAAATGATGAGTAACAAGGGTTAACAAATTGGAGCCATAAGGTTGAAATTTTCCACGGTGTGGTGGGCCAAAACCAAAATCAAGGATCTGCTGATGGAAAGGATGCACAGAAGTCACACCTTCTAGGTACTACAGACAGGGGCTCTGTGCTGGTCTCACATACTCAGACATAGAAAGCCACAATGGAGGGGAGGGAATTAATAGTTCCATAGTTATGTGAAGCCAGTTGCCCTATTACACTACACTAGTGGTGCACAGAAGGTGTGGTTGTTATTCCAGTCCAAAAGCTAAAACAGCACAGTATCTTGGCCCGGGATAGAGGGGATGCATTTCACCTCCCCTACCTTCTGCACTCCAGAGGTATAAACCATGAATATTCAAAGCTTTATGCAGACAGAATGGATTTAACCCTAGGAAGTGGACTGAGACCATTCTCATCTAACACAGGTCACCAAACCACTATCAGATGGAAATAACTATCACTCTCTATTGATGTGGAGTAGTTTGAAAATGAAGCTCCATATTCCATTATTAATATCCTGAACACCTCAGTTTCCCACAAATCAAATCTTCACATCGTTTTTAAAGATGGAACATACATAGTCAATAAGTAAGAGCAACCACTTAGTTTATTTCATGGTCATGTTACAAGCAATTGCAGGTGTTGACAACAAATATTGGCAAGCCTGAAACAATGAATTCATTAAATATACTCTATAAGTATCCAAGTAGTTACAGTATCTGCCCTCAAGTTATCTGAGATAAGAAGCTCCCCCACGTCTCTCTTCCATACATTAAATTATACAAATTCAAGTATTTCTTACTAACAATAATTCTTACTAACAATTTTCTCACTTTACAGATGCATTAAGCAAAACAGCGCCATGTACAGTAACTCCCTGATTTTATGAACATCACTCATATGAACCATTTTTCTGCCGCTGATGTCATCTTCCTGCCACAAAATGTGACTTCAGTCCTTCAGCCAATGTTTAAGTGACTGTACAGATTTGAAAGGACAGATTTGGCAGCAAAGAAGAGATGCTATTCTCTCAATAAAAGAAAAATCAGACACACTATATAAATTTGTTAATGTACATTATCACTGAACAATTAATAAATTAAGTTATGCACTGTACCTACTATAATTATTAAATGTTCAATTTTATGAACTTTGATTTTATGAACTCCTCAATCCCAGTTAGTTCATAAAACAGGAATTGTATTGACTAGTACTGTAGATCATGGGACTTTACATTTTAAGAATCTATCAGGAGATGGAGAAAATGGTTTGTTCTGGTTAAATTTTAGATGCAGAAAGATAAGGAAAAATACAGGTAACAAAAGCCCTGGAATTATATTAGATACTTAAAGCATCATAATGTTATAAATACACAGCAGAGAATAGATGAGGGGGAAAACTGGATAATTAGATAAATAATTTTAGTTCAATACCAAATTTCTTCAGGGTGTTAACTGAATTTAAGCAGACAACAAATATAAATGCTAATGAGCTCTACAGTACTTTACAAGAGATGTCTTTTCCTGATAAACATGTCAGAACTCCTCAAAATCACACAGACGCTCTGGCATCTGCTGCAAAGAAGGTGGATCACCCGTGTATTCCAAGGAACACAGTAACCTCTCAAACATCCCTCCTTGCAGGAGAACGGAACATATTTTGCAACGGAGTGTGAATATGTAACCCAGCATTCTTGTTCAATTTTGGTGGATATTAATCCGCCATTCCTGCTCTTCCCGCACATCCTTCAATCCTTTACTTTTCCTATCTCTTGAACTCACTTATCGCCTTTGTCTTTATAGTTTCCTAGCTTGTAACTTGGCTATCTCTACACTAGCTCTTTGTTGGTATAACTTATGTCACTGACGGGTGTGAAAAAAACACTCCTCTGAGTGATATAAGTTTCACTGACAGAAGCGCTGGGGTCGGCAGGAGATGCTCTCCCGCTGACATAGCTACCGCTGCTTGTTGGAGGTGATTTAATTATGTCAACAGGAGAGCTCTCTCCCATAAGCACAGAGTGGCTACATGAGCACTCTTACAGCGGCACAGCTCGCTCGTGTAGACATGGCCTTATTCAGTATTTTTCCTTTTTGAAAACTATTGTGGAACATTTGTCAGTTTACACCCAAATTTACCTTCTTCACACAAAGACTTCAGGTTACCTCACTTCCATTAATGTACTAAAGGATACCAGAAATACGGAATTGTGATGCTGTAGTCACAGGAAGTAGTATTTACTCTGAAGCAATTGAAAACATTATTTTAGGCATTCTCAATTTTTATTTTGTGGCTTTTAAGTTTGGTCCTTTATTGTAAATTGTCTCTCACTTTGTTTTGTATGTTCAGAGACAAGACTTACAATGACTTCAGAAATAAGTGACGCCTTCTTATCAAGTATGTTACAGCAACAAGATTAATACAAGCACCACAATTTCTTGTCCCTTTTGACTACTCCACTCACCTGAGGAGCCTGTCTCTGCCATAGATTGCTTCCACCCAGTACACAGATTTTCCTCCATGGCCATCTAGAATTGTATCGACCCTGCGTGTCTTCAGGTTCCAGACATGGATCAGCCCATTGGAAGACCTGATAGAGGGAACGGATGGCATTTTCTGTGACAATCATGTAAAATTTGATAAGAAATGTTGCTGTTCTTCCTCCTTCTCGGACTCTGAAGTGTTATGTATGTACATAGGCTTCATTCAATGCACCAACCACTTACTGGGAATACATTTTGTTGTTTTTCCCAGCTATAATTTACTTAAAGTATATGTACTCTTTAAAAAAAAAAAAAAAAAAAGGTTTGAAGGATGCTCATCTCTGTAACAGCTTCTGGTGGGAAATTTACTTAAAGGCTTCTACTCACCCAGAGAAGAGAATGGGGTAATCGGGTTCTTGGCCTCCACAATAAAAATGTAGAGTATGGACTTCAGCACTAGTACCCCGTAGAACAAACTGTGGGTCTGGAGGTGGAAGAGCCATACCAGCAATAAGCTAGAGACACCTTTCCAAGAAGAGAAATCAAAGAAAAGCACAAGATTTTCTTAATCACACAGTGTTAAGAAGCACATATTATGAATAACAGAACTGCAACTGTGCTCTGCATCAAACATTTGCTTCGCTTAAGAGTCTATACTTTCCCCTTATAGCTAGCATTATGTTGAGGTTATTCGCCATATAATCCAAACTAAAATGTTCCCTCTTACACTTAGGGAATCAAGCATCTATCAAAGCTGTTTCTCATTGCTATCCATCCATGCTAAACTATGAGAAGTGCTGAGCTTGCTACATGAATATGCACCCATCATATATTTGAATATACAAATGTGTTCAGCTATTCTCCATGCTGCAAACTGGACTGACAAGTGACAGCTACAAAATGCAAGGAATTGGACACACAAATTTGGTGGAGCAAGCACATTTATCATTCCAGTGAGGCCCTTGGCAAATTCTTTCCCCTTCCTTCCAAAATAATCCTTTCACTGTGCTCTCTGGCAATGGAATATCTATCCTATGAAAAAGATTTCAGGTAAGATTAAAGCGATAATCATTTTTACACCAGAGTTTCATTACTCCCAAGTGCTCCAACATTTGGTTCCAGGTATGGTTATATAAAAAATAAAAATAAAAACCAAAGCAGCATTTTTTTAACGTTATGACCACACTATGTTAAATATTGCATTCAGAGGGGGTTGCATTCTTCCCAGGATCAGGAAATGGATATAGATCTTTTCGCCTGTAGGCTCTGGTTCAAATATGGCCCAGCATCAGTAGTAATCAAAAATTATAATTTGATGACTGGGCTGGGGGACTATGTAAACCAAGTGGTTGATCACAGGCTGAGATTCAACAGCGCTCTTAAGCATGTGCATAAAACTTTAAGTACTTGAGTAATCCTGTTGAATTCAAAAGAGCTACTCATATGACCCCGTTAGGCACATTCTTAAGTGCTTGGATGGATCCAGGCCTTAGCAAAACATGTTCACAGCACAAAAATGCCCATCAAATTGAACACCTATGTAGACAATTTTTGCAAAGACGATAAAGACTGGATGGCAATGAAGACTGAATAATACTTCAACTTGCTAGAGAGGATCCTCCAGAACAATGCTGAGGCATAGCTATTAATTTAGCAGCCTTTATGAGCTCTAAATTCACTTTAAATTTATTTGGAAAATGACAGAGTAGTGAGCATTATAAGCAGGTTTTTACCAATAGTCCTTTCTGGGTGAAATGAGTGGCCACGCCCCATATATCTGACATTTCTATCTCTTACTTTATTGCCTGTGTTCAAATTAAGAAATGAGTAGATTGAAAAGTAAAGGGGGAGGGGCAGTCATGATGGATGTCAATCATCACACCTCTTTCAAAAAGCAGTTTACTCATGGGTTCCACTAGCCCAAAGAATCATTTTCTAAGTTAAATAAGTGAAGGTCAACTGGCTTCTTTCTCCCAGCTGGGTCACAGAAGAGGAGTCACAGAGAATCCTAACACAGAAGTAAAACTAAGCATTACATGGACAAGTAAAACATTCCAGTTTTTAAGTAGACACTCATGATGCATCCCTGTCAGACTTTGACTCTTCCTTTATTAAACGGATCCATTGATTACTGCACCTCAGTTGAGATGAGAGAGATTTAATTTTATCTTTGTTATTTATATAACAGTGATCGCCACGGTATCTGTAATTCCTAATTAAACAAATATTTTAGGTCTAGTCATGAAACAGGCATTTACAATCTAACATCTCTCTCTTCCTCAACAGTACTGTTTAGTAAGCTACAAAAATAATGAGCTCAGCGTATAACTTCCATGTTTTAATGCACTGATTCATCCGTTTTATGATGCTGTCTGATGATCCAGACTCATGACAAGCCTGGAATAAATTTTCAGATGATTACACGCTTGTACAAGGTTGTTCCCCATGGTGAGATTCAAGCCTTCAGTGCCTATCTGTAACGTACTTCATCCTTATTATGAGGCTGTCCGTTACAATAAGCACTTTGTCACTGAAGGTCACTTGATCGGAGCTCCATAACTGTATCCAAAACCATTCTAATCACCTTCAAAGTGACAATTTGTCTTTGGAACCCTCTGAACATTTAATGTAGCTAACACAGAGCATGTTATAGGGAGGTGTCCCTTTTTATGAAGGAATGATTCCAAAGTATAGTTCCAAGAGAGGGAGGGAGACAAAATGGAAATGAGTCAGCCCAGAGGCTATCAGGGATTACGAGGCAGGATTTAATAGCATTTTTCTAATTACCAACACAAAAGTTTTGCTGACAGACTGTGTGTGCCTGGATGTGAGGAGGGTTTTAGCTGGCATGAAACAGACGCTCCTAATGCATGTCTTTACAAGGACAATACTGTAAAAAAATCCTCAGACTTGAATATAGAAAAAAAATAATAGTAAACATACTTTATTCACTTACGGATTCAAAGTAAGTTATCAATCTTTGGAAATGGGATTTTGCTATTATATATATCAATCTGGGAACCTGGATTTAATAGTATATGGCTTTTAGCAATAGCCCCATGTTGTGTTTTGCTACAGAATGAGGTATTTTCTATTATTAATTGCTACTGCTAAACCATCAGAGACTGCACAGCAAGAAAGACAGTGGTGTCTTCTGATGAGAAGTGACAGCATAACAATTTTAAGTTTTCTACTGCTCTCTGCACTAGTTGTGACATAGCAGTTTGAGCAACAGTCCGGGAACAGGAACTCCTAAATTCTAATCCCACCTCTGTTGCTAATTCCCTCTGTGAACTTTGGCAAGTCACTTAAGGAGATTTTCAAAGGTATTTAAGTGCCTGAAGATGCCGATAGCCGCCTAGTGAGATTTTTCAAAAGCACCTAAGTGCCTATCTTCAAAATTTTCAAAAGTCCCTAAATGATTTAGGAGCCTAAGTCCCATTTTCAAAAGTGACTAACATTGGTGTGAGACCACAACCAGGCCCCAGGGCTCTAAGCAGCAAAGTGAGACCCACGGAAGGAATTTATAATAAATGCTTTCAAAAAAGTTTTCTGTCCTAGACTATGTGCTTGACCCAGATGTTGTGAGCACTGGCTTCCAAGACAGGACATTGGAGGACATGAATTAAGTTTTGCTTATGACATTATTTGTTTGTAAAAGGACACCAGCCTTGAGAGATGCAACACCTCCTTGCTGTACTTTGGTCTTGTTATTTTAAATAGACAGCAATCCTATTCTTTTTTTTTTTTTCTTTTTTCTAGCTTTTCCTGTGCCGGTAACACTCTCCTCCTTCAGGGTCCAAACTTTGCTCCAGAAGTTATTTTGACAGGGCACAATACAAACCCCAGATATATTATGTTGATTACTCTTGATCCATCACCAATTGCATGCTGATTGGAAAATCCAGGTGTCCAGATCTATATTCCAGTTAGCAAATGACTGTGTACATCACACATTGTAAAGGGCTTTGCCATGCAAAACTTGTTTCTACTAAAATTGGGAAATGTTTAATCTTCTTCAAAAATGTAAAGTTACATAATTTTAGAGACCAAATTACCAATAACAACACCTATAAAACTCCACTTTGTTTAGCATGTAATTAAGGGAACTTTCCTTAAGTTATTTGAGTTTCTATGCAGTGAGAAATGCACTACTTCAGCATTTGATACACAAAAAAAAATAGAAAAAAGTAGATCTTTCAATTAATAATAGTCATTTAAAAATGTAAATGTCAGAAAGATTACCTTGGAAAAATCTCACAGAGAATTAAAAACATTAACAGATTCCCACAGGAAAAATTCCAGCTGAATTCAACAACTCTCCTGTTCCCACTCCTGTCATTTGTATTTCCATCACACATCGAAGCAAAAACAAATTGCTAGTAAACTATCACCCAAGCACCCCCTTCCCCCACAACCCCACAATTAAATCTGAGATACAAACAGCTTGAGCAAAGACTAAAAAAGGCTTCCTATTCTATAGTCGTTTACAAAGTAGCAAAACGTTGGTGCTAAAGAGAGATTTTTCAGGTATGCCAGAGATAAATCTCTCTCGGCACGTCTGGCAAACTGACTCGGGACTCTAACTAGCAGGTGTGCAGATATAATTATGACTGCAAATTATTCGACACATCCAGGTGTGCTCATCATCAAATATATGAAATCCCTTTTATTTCTGGAAATTCCAAGCCTACCAGGTGCCAGCCTCCCAAAGAAGAGTAAGATTAAAGAATTAGTCAGTAAAAATATGAATAACCTTTTTTCTTCCCTGTTCTCATGTAGGAAAGCTCCTCTCCAGATTGCACTTCTGTCTTTTCCACTTGGGTCAAAGGGTAACTTTGCTCCTTTCATGATGATTTTTAAGACATGTTTCCCACATCTTGTAGCTAACTAACTAGATATGACTATATAGCATCTGCAGTCAATAAGAATATACAGTATGTAATTTCAGAGAAAACTGGTGGAAAGGGCAATTTTATTAAGTTAATAGTATAAGGCACATAATCAATTTATATTACCTCCAACTCCATTTTCAATTTTAAAATATGGTAGGTAGCCCTTACAGTAAGAGCTTTCTAAAGGGCCCATAAGGCCAATCTTGTCCAGGCTTTCTGCCTATAAATCATAACAGACAGTTGAGCTCTCATGGGGGGGCAGTCTCCCCTTCTGCCCCCAGCAGTACCCATACTGCATGGCTGCATTTAAAGATTGTGGGCCTCCCCCAACTCAGTTGGCTACCACCTTACTGGTTGGCTGTATGATCCATTTGAGCAGCCAGGCTGGATCAACAGAGACCCATCAGCCACCTGATTGGTCTTCCTCTAAATCGACTCTGCTTGAAATGCCAAAACACAGTGGAACTTGCACATACCTCAGACAACAGTAGTTGGGGCAAATGCTGTATGGACATGTGGCATTTCTAGCAGGCAAAGGATCAAAGTCCAGGATTACAAGTACCCATTTTATCCAAACATAACTAAAATACAGATGGTCTGGCAGCTTCCAGATACATCTGCAGAAAGCAACTGAACTGCTTATTTCAGATTATTTGAACTCAAAGATGAGTATTTGAAGTTTACTGCATACTAAGAAAATGTACTCTAAAAGCAGGTTAAGTATTTGTAACACACATATGCCCGCCAGCCTTTTGTGGTAAATTTTCAGCCCACGGCCTTTGAGTTTGACTCTGCAAATCCTATAAGCTTTACATAAAAAACACAGAAGTAGGGAAGAACATTTAAATGGGAGAAGTATCTGAGCAACAGGATGTTTAGTTTGTACTCCATCATAAGCTAAAAATGTAACAAGACTTTCTCCCCCCGCTTCCCCAACCAAATGAAGCAACTTGGAATTCAATTAGCCTACAAGGAACAGGAGCTTACATTCTCGTCCTGGACCTCATCTGTACACATCACAACTTCACCACATAATTTGATATAATTGTCAATCTTTCCTCAAGTAAAACACAGGAGAGAAACTGCACAGTATGCTGAGGTCAGAACTGAGGCACACTGGTAGAACTGGGGGGAGGAGTGAAGTTTGCCTGCATGTGACACGTGACTTGCTTTTAGACATGTGAGCACTATGTTAACTTTTGAAAAATATGCCAAGAAAACATGAATGTGACAATTAAGCTTTTTCCTTTATAGGTCTGTTTGATATCTTTCTTGCTATACTACTAATACTATAATAATACTAATTCTATATATCGTGCTTTAGTGTTTATATTTAAAAAGCTAATTAAGTAAATATAATGGGTTTCAAATAGAATGATTTGACACATAAAACATACAAATGAAAGAGTCATTCCTTTTAGCAATGTGTATATCCAGTGCTTTACATTAGCATTATTAGCTAATTACTTTGTATATTTATTCTTTATCTACGTTCATCCTCAGACATTAGTGTCCAAGTAGGAATTAAACAACGACGTTGTACCTTAAAAGATTCATGTTAAAAACAAAGCAAAAATAAAACCATGGCAATGGACTGGAAGCATGCACTAGTGTGAACTGAAATATGAACAAAAAATAACATAACCAAGAGATTTCCATACTGACATAACATTGTTGCTTTTGAAAATTTAAATTTGGAGACATAACAGCATCAAACAGGACTTGCTGATTTATATGATCAAGCTATACAATACTGTATTAGCAGATACCATTAACCTGTTGCCACACATCCTATGTTACAACTAACTAAAGGCCTGGATTTTTACAGGTTCGGAAGTCAGTGCTGCCAGAGCTTTCATTCTCCCTGGCCACAAAATAGTTGTTAATGACCAGTAACGACTGACTGCTCAGAAGAATACTTCAAAACAATAAGTCTAATCCTGAGAGATGCAAAGTAGCTCCCTCTGCTACTGAAGTAAACAGGAGGTTAGGAGCGAAACCTCCTTCAGGATCTGCCCCAAAGTTAACTTCTTTCCTGACCCCATGTAGGGAACAACGGAGGTTTCCACATTTCACTGTATAAACCAATAAATGGTTAGGGAGCAAACTGATTTGTTTATCAGCCACTGGTGCAAATATATGCCAAGAAATCCAATCAAAGCAGGGGAAAAAATGGCTACTAATAGCAATACAATGTGATTTTTTTCAATCATTTCCCGTCAGAGAATGACTAGTTACAGTTTTAACACCTTTTCTCCTCTAACTAGTCATCATCTAACTGACAGAGAACAAAACACAATACACTTATGTCTTTAAATAATTAAGTTTGTAAGGAAAATGCATATAAATGTCAACATACGATTTTCAGAAATATTTGGGATTTGAGCTGGTATCTTGAGGATCACTTCCAAATACTTCCATCTGAAATTAAAAAAAAAAATCACTATAATTATTTTCCATCTGAAAACATAGATTCAGCATGGGAACAAAAGTAAGAACACTGAGTTAGCATATGGATCTCATTGCCCCTGTACATTTTAGTCACTGAAACAAAAAGCTATTAATCAATATGTAAAAGCCATAAATTAACATAAACATTAATCATTCTAATACTCCTGGCGTGTCAGAATGATAATTTTTTTTCAGTCTTTCATTTTGACATACTCGCCTTTAGCTATCAGCTGGCTGACCTTTCTTAACACAGTTAAACATTTTCGGCATTGAAAATCTCACTGAAATAAACATTTTTGAGAAAGCCAAATATCATGGCTACACTTATGCCATTGCACTTGTTTTTAATATGTCAGGCTAAAATACAGCATGAAAACACAGCTGAAATTGATGAAATTTTAGTGTTTCATAAACAGGTTCATTGCCCAGATTAAGGAAAAAGAACCCCATCTGTTTTGCTTTATGAAGCCATTAATTGCCCTGTAAAGTGCAATGATAAAACTACGGAAAGCCTTGTTTTAGGAGAAAGAAATCTGACACAAAGTACACAGTAGTTCAACTCCAAAACAGACTCCCCATATGGCTAATGCAAAAAGATATAGGACCTCTAATGCCAAATCTCCTTGAAAAATTAAAGAATGTGAAAATGCACAAAATAAATGAAAAAAAGGCTTCACACAATTGTCTCTGTATAACACAACATTCAGGCTTAAAGTTGAATTCAAGTTTGCACACTTGATAAATCATTGCAATCTAGCAGAAAATTGATAAGCCAAGGGCCATCAAAAGGCTGTTTTGAGTAGCCTTTCAGTTCAGCCATGCATAGCAATCTGTCAGCAACAGAGATCTGTCTACCCAGCCTCCTAAATTAGGGGTGCTCCCAACTTCAGCATCGGGCATGAATCTCTTGCTTCCAACAGCAATAACTAGTTAATATTGTCCTCAGACTGCAAAGATTTAATTAAACACCTTCCAGACATTTTAGCAGACATTTCCTGAAATACTCTTGTTTAGTAGCAAACTATTAAAAAAAAAAACTGACAAAGAAATGTATCAAGTTCTTACAGCAACTGAAATTAATCCGGCCAAACTTACATGTCTGCAATTAAGGATTCCGTAATTCTGAGCAATTAAAATATATATTTTATTAGAAAACTAATTCTAGACACATATTTTTCCCATGACAAACTTTTATGATTACTTGATTTATTCCCTTATAATTACTATTTAATTAATCTAGCCTTGTATAATATTATACTATTTTTCTGGCACTCAACCAATAAAGACAGTAAATTGATTGCGGTTCCATTGTGCAACAGCAGACTCTGTAATGCCAGTTTCAACACCACGCTTATTTATTTGTCTGTTCTATTACTTTTCTTTTCCTCCCACAGGGCACATGAACATGAAACACAATATGCACCGGATAACTTTTTGTGTTCTATAGATTTTCTCCCTCTAAATGTGAAATATAACATATAACTTGTTTTAATTCAATATCAATGCATACGCAATATGATACTATATAATAAAAATACAATTCTTAAGAAATGGCGTTACAGGTCTAACATATATAACACAAAATAGCTAGTCAATTGACTATTGACATACAGGGCCGGGCCCTCAGCTAGAGTAAATTGGGTTAATTCTATTGATCGCCAGTTCCAGCACAGGAGATTGTCCCATGATATCTGACAATAGGGGAGGATGGGTCAAATAAAATCTTTCATACTAATTTACAAAGTTCGTACATAATACTACATTTATTTTAGTATGTCAGTTTTACCCGAATTAAACTTTTACTGTGTAACTTTAGCCTCCGTTTAAAAAATTGAGTGATACAAGTTTCAACCAAAATAAAAAACCCTCTGACATCTCACTTTATAAATAATTATTTCTGGAGGAGTGGTATCTGTTTGTTACAATGTTACAACACAAACATACTTAAATATTTCCAATAGACGTAACAGTGGCATTTTTGTTCTCGTCTTTACCACTTTAGAGGTAAAAACTATCCATTAAAAAACCCCACAAGCCACTGCTCACCCTTTACTGTTAGGAGGCCTTAAACTTCCTTCAGCATACCCTTTCCTGAAATCCTAGCACTGGCTGTCACCCCAAAGTTGGCACCCCATCTCTGTGTGTATTTTTTTCAGGAAGAGGAACTGAGAAGGGATTCATTTTAAACATATATGGAAGCAACATGCTACTTCATATTCTTTTAAATCTTTTGAATCAGTTATTGGATTTTATGCTATTTTTTCTGCTAGAAAATATACAACATTGACCACAGATACCACTTATCCAAAATTATCCTAATTCTAGAGCAGTGGTTCCCAAACTTTAACAACCTGTGAACCCCTTTCACTAAAATGTCACATCTCACGAACCCCCTCCTAAAAATGAATATTTCCAGGGATTTTCTCCTTTACCTGAGTATAAATTATAAAAGCAGTGCTCTTGGAAATATAAAATTTGTTTTTATGACATGCTTATTACACACTATTTACTATTATTATTATAATTTATCATTACAGTATTTTTATTACATTATGAAAACAGCAACACTCTTCCAAGATCTCACTTTCGTAGCTTGTATCACTTTGAATAAGCCTGTTATAAGACAAGGCTCCTATGTTTCATCAAGGAGTATCAGATGTGAAACAGCATGAAGGTATTTAAGAAGCCAATTCAAAGAGTTCCTCCTACACAAGCATTCAGGTCTTGAGCAGTCCAGGCAAACAACTTGTTCTTCATAATAATTTTAAAAACAATACTAGCTGCCTATTTAATTTTAAAAACAGCAAAAAATATCCACCTCCCTTTCCATTTCTTATAAGGAGTCTTGAAGTTTAAATCTCCTCAGTGTGATAGATATGCTTGCTTTGATATGCTTAGCTCTTGGAAGTCCAAGGGCTCCGGGCTTCTGGCCACGTGCTGCCCAGGGTCCCTAGGGACAGCTCTGTCCGCCATTAGGGAATTTTTTCCCGAGAACCCCCTGTAACATTTTGTGAACCCTTAGGGGTTCACAAACCCCAGTTTGGGAACCACTGTTCTAGAGGGAACAAGTTATTTCATTGTGCACTGTAAGAAACTGTACCCAAACTATCTCCTGGTTGAGCTCTCCGAAAAGGCTCCCAAAATATTTTCTTTTATCCTTATTCCCCCATTTTCTAAAACAGCACTGACAAAATACAAAATCACTGGAAAAGGCAGAGAGGAAGGAAAGTATTTTTATGGTTAAATTGAGCAAGAAATCCTATAAGCATTGCCACATTTCAGGATACATTTACAACAGAATACTGTATTTACTTTTTTCACATGGTTTCTGTTTTTAAGATTTATTTTATAGATATGTTTCAGACAAAAACTGTTTAAAAAATCTACCTAAGTCACAAATAGTCAAAGTAAGCAAATAGTAAATCAGCTATTGTAGTTCCTGCTTGTTTTCATGGTCCACATTTTTGACCCAGTCCTGCAAATCCTTACTCACTTGAGCAATCCCTTTGAAGTTAGTGAGGTTTGCAGAATTAGGCCCTTAAATCAAAATATTAATTATTTATAGATATTACTGCACCCACAGAGATTAAATTCATTCCTTCTTTAGAATCTTTATGTTTGTTAACTAAGCCACCCTACTGCTGCGAGGCAAGTATTATTATACATCATTTTACAGACAGAGAAACTGAGGCAGAGAGGCTAAGTGATTTGCCCATGGTAACAGAGAGTCACTGAAAGAGCCAGGATCAGCATAGGATTTATGGTCTCCCAGATCTGTGCTGAAAATCCTCTGTAAGCACAATGAAAGTGAACTCACTAAAAGTTTGCTAAGAAAAGAGAAGTCTTCAAATTGTATAATAAGGTTGTGTGATGTTCTTTTACTCTATATTAATTCATTAGGTCAAAACTTGCAAGCTTTATTAGGCAGAAGTCCCACTGGTGTCAGTGGGAGTTTTGCCTGAATAAAGACTGTAGAATATGGTCCATAATCTTTACTATTTCAAGAATCAATTTTTTATTTTTTTAAAAAAAGGCCCAATGTCATGTATATCAACCATTTCAAATTTAGGATTCAGAGAAGCAGATTAAAATGCATTTTTCTGCTGTGTGTCTCACTAAAATTCAACATTAATTGGTATCAGTGCCTCCTTTTTGTCCACTGTGATTCCCATCAGATACAATATATGTAGATGTTATTTGGATAAGCCAAGTTATCAGATAGCAAAGTAATCCAAGAAATGTGACAAGAATGCACCATAATTCAGGTGCAAACAGGAATGACATTTACAGGGTAAATATTACCTGATCATCAAATACAACAAATGTTTATTTTAACTGATTAGCCTAATCTTAGATTTTAGATACAAAACCACAATTGTTCTTCCATGTGAATTTGATCACATAATTCTAGATCCATTTTCCATGACCACGTAGGATGCAGTTGTTAAATATACTTATTTTGAGAGAGACAAGTAGGGTGAGGTAATATCTTTAAATATTTAATATCTTTGGTAATATCTGAAGAAGAGCTCTGTGCAGCTCAAAAGCTTGTCTCTTCCACCAACAAAAGTTGATCCATTAAAAGATATTACCTCACCTATCTGGTCTCTCTCTTATTCTGGTAGCAACATAGCTACAACAACGCTGCAATATTTATTTTCAACATTCCTGAGATAACAATATCAAACAGGCAAATAGTCAAAATGTGAAGGATATTAATAAAAAGTGAGTGAACAACTGCAACACCAGTTCAATAATTCTTCAATGACCTTCATACTAGAATTTCTACTATTGAACCTTACAGATGCCTGGAACATTCTGATCAGTTAGCTCTTCAATATTTTTAAGGGGTCATATCTTACATTAGCTGTTTATTTCTCTCTACTTGCTAAACCAAAAGTTCCTGAAGACAGTTAACATGTTTACTTATTTAAAGCTTCAGTCCCTTTGTCTAGTATGAACCACAATTG